AGTTTCTAGCGCAGTTACTTGTGTTGTTCTCAGTGGTTTCTTTGATTTCCACACAGCTTCTGCCACAGTTACATTGTGTTGTTCTCAGTGGTTTCTTTGATTTCCACACAGCTTCTGTCACAGTTACATGCGTTGTTCTCAGTGGTTTCTTTGATTTCCACACAGCTTCTGCCACAGTTACATGTGTTGTTCTCAGTGGTTTCTTTGATTTCCACACATGTGTTGTTCTCAAGGCTTGTTTTTGTTTACATCGTTTCTAACAGTTACATGTGCTGTTCAAATGAATATTTTGTTGCTATTTACGAAGTCTACCACGTTTACGCAACATTCACATGTTGTTCTTTTTTTTTTTTACTTTACACAGTTTCTATTGCAGTTACATAGGTTGTTCTCAGCTGTTTGTATCATCCGTCGTTCTTTCCACCCTCCCACCAAAGTGACATGCGCTGCTCTCAAAGAGTTTTTCATGTAGTTTTTACTGTAAGAGATAATCCGTTCACTAATATTTTTAACGTTTTTTTATTAATTACCTTTAATAAGGAACACATTATATACGTTTATTCATACATGTGTTATTTCTTTGCTTCCATGGAAAAAAAATTCTTATAAAATTCTGATGGAATACAACACTGCACTATTGAACAAATTTCAGGGGCGTTAAGAATGATTTCGTTACGTGGGTTCAACAATGCGTGCAGCGAGAGATGGCCGAGTCAGCCGAGCGGCAACCACCCTCTGTCTGTAAGCCTGTGCTGTCTATCGCTCCCGGCGGTGCCCGGCTTGCCTGCTTTTCTACCCCCTTTCCTCTACAAGCTAGGTGAGTGTTTGAGTGAGAATGTGGTGGCGATCTTGCTGTGGCACCCGTAAGCAGGCTGTCTACGAACATTCACGAACAAAAACTGGAAAAGTTAGCTTCACCTTGTTTTTTTTCTTCAGGATTTTGAGTATAGGAACCTATTCTCCCTCGGGGACTTGAAAAGCTGGCAATCTACCATAATATCTTAGGAAGATATCTCTACATGCACAGTGGACCAACCAGCAGTGGATTCGGTTAACGTTCTCGGTTGAATATATATTGGTGGTTCACAAATATTCAGGCGAAATTCTGGTGCCTTGGACCAGCATGGCGACCATTGTATATTAATTGTTAGTGCTCGATTTCTTAAATCCTATCGTTCTCTCACTTTATTCACGCATTCGGTTGATAAACTGATATACGCCCCATTAACCCAACATTGAATGAGATGCGATAAACATTAAGTTTCTCGCAACTTTTAAACTGTCACATTTTCTAATACTTTCCTCTGAAATAAAAACGTTTACAAGCAGTTCACTTTTAAAGGTTTCACGTCCATTGATAGGTACATCAATGATATTTAGCTTTAAATAAATGTTTATTTGATACCAATGGGTTTTAAATATTAATAATAATAATGTTTAAATCTAGTGTATGCCAAGGTACCGAAGGTGTTACAAACAAATATAAAACATGACGAAGGTGTTGTGCAATTATCCCCACGCATTCAAATAATAAAAGGAGTGAGAAGAGGGGAGGTCAAAACTTAAAATTTGGATATCATTATCCGTGTTTTTCACGTAATATTCATTTACTTCTTATGCCTTAAAAGGTTCCAGTCTTTACAGGTGTTCTCTACAAATTACATTACTAGTAAACCTGCAGCGTTAAAACACCCAACGACAAATCCTACAGTTTATAGAATACCCATCACATTTACCGATATCTTTAAACGCTTTTAGCACGTTAGCATTAGCTTACAAACTAGCATCAGTTGTGTACAACCTTCACGGATAAGGATTTGGGAAATATGCTTACCTTGTTTGCCGACTGACTGCCTGAAACAGAAGAAAACCAACGCCAAAACAGAGAAAACTTTCCCACATCTTCCTCGGCTCGACGCCATGACTGTGTTTGAGAGCATTCTCCACTGATAACCTACCCAGTCCACAGCACATTACAGCGCTGCTCTCGTGCTCCGCCCAGCTAATTTCAAATGTGTGATGTCATTTCCGTATGCTACAATTCGTCGGATTTCTGAGGCGTCGTGTAAAGGCATGCAACAATATATATATATAACATCGTATGAAGTTATATTGGAAATAAGTATTACATAAGTGAATAATTCATTATTTTAATTACATTAATTCGTAATAATAAATTATTACACCTAAACTAACATTGTTTAGTTTAAATACACGAGAATAAAAACAACGTATTTACTTCTTCTTTCATTATAAACAACAGAGGAAATCATTGATTCAACAAAGAGAAAAACAGGTTATTAGAAACATATATATATATTAGATTTTTCTGAGCCTTTACTCATTTGTGTGCTCAATATCAAGAGAACTACATTTCCGTTTTCTTCTGTTAAACAAAATATCAACATAACTATGGTGGTCGCTAAATCTGGTGTTAGCTTAGGCTCAAGTGAGATATATGATTTTAGTGAGGATTTGGCCGAAAGAATGGGATTATTGTCATGTTAATTTCAGCTGATAACGTTCTAGTCTGTTTTTCTCCATAGACGTAGCATTAAGATTTTATATACAGACCTCGATATACTAAGGCGTTACTGAAAAAGTAAGCAAAAAATGTATAACAAACCTATGTTAAATGAAGAGAGGAGTATTGAAGCAGCCGTATAACGCATGTTTGTTTGTTTGTTTTGAATTTCGCGCAAAGCTACACGAGGGCTATCTGCGCTAGCCGTCCCTAATTTACCAGTGTAAGACTAGAGGGAAGGCAGCTAGTCATCACCACCCACCGCCAATTCTTGGCCTACTCTTTTACCAACGAATAATGGGATTGACTGTCACATTATAACGCCCCCACGGCTGAAAGGGCGAGCATGTTTGGTGTGACGGGGATTCGAACCCGCAACCCGCAGATTGCGAGTCGAGCGCCTTAATCACCTGGCCATGCCGGGCCATAACGTATGTTAAATGAGGAGAGAAGTATTGAAGTAGCCGTATAACGTATGTTAAATGAAGAGATAACGTATGTTAAATGAGGAGAGAAGTATTGAAGCAGCAGTATAACGTATGTTAAATGAGGAGAGAAGTATTGAAGCAGCAGTATAGCGTATGTTAAATGAAGAGAGAAGTATTGAAGCAGCAGTATACTAAATGAAGAAGGAAGTATTGAAACAGTGGCAGAACGTATGCTAAATGAAGGCAAACTTTTAAAATATTTTGAAATTTAATGTGAAAGTGAAAACAAATTTAATTGGAACTTTACTGATATAAAAGTATAATTGTAAGCCATATACAGCTGTAAGTACTCCTGAAAATATTTTTCGATGTTAGTTTTTATGAGACCCTCATGACTACAGAGACTTGATAATGCGTTTTACCATGTAATTGAACAGAAGTAAGTAAAATATTCATACGATGCAAATTACCATGTTGTCCAGTTGAAATTAATATAAATCAGGAACTACTTTTTTGAACAAAAACGTTTCTTCTTAGACCAACTCTAGTATTAAAAAAATCAATTTCATAAAAGTGGAAAAAGACACTACACGAGTAAATAAAACATGGCTATTTAAATACGCCGAAAACTAATTAAGTAAAACACATTTAGATTAACATATTTAATAATTTCACAACTTAAAAGACGACTGCGTACAGAAAATTAATTTTAGAGATTATGTAACTTAGTCTAAATTTATTTCTTTTTTCTTTTTGCTAATTAAAAGCCTTTTTTTGTAAGCAATTCTTTATTTTACAAATTTCAGTCCTAACTGCAAATATGCTCGCCCTTTCAGCCGTGGGGGCGCTATAATGTGACGGTCAATCCCACTATTCGTTGCTAAAAGAGTAGCCCAAGTATTGGCGGTGGGTGGTGATGACTAGCTGCCTTCCCTCTAGTCTTACACTGCTAAATTAGGGACGACTAGCGCAGATAGCCCTCGTGTAGCTTTGCGCGAAATTCAAAAAACAAACAAACAAACAGTCCTAACTGAAGTACTTTACACATTGTTTTCCACATGCTGAACGATTAAAAACTAAATTTTACATTTAGCTTATCAGGACTCGAGGTTTAGGCTAAGCGTTCTTTAACATATATTCAGCACGAACGGCACTGTTTCAAACGTTTACTACTGAATGTAGAAGAATTTCTACCGAAAGTTTAAACGAACCGCACTATTTTGCACGTTAAACTTCAGTTTGAGTCTATTAATTAGTAGACTTTCCTTTATTCGCAGTTGGCCTTAGACAGGATTTAAAATGGCCCTCTAATTATAGGTTCATTACATTTATTCAACGCATGTCTCTTGCTACTTGAAATTGGTATGAATCTTCAATTTGCATGTTCTTCTTGTATGCAAGCAGGTAACCACCTAGTTGTGGAACCAATATCACCTGAAAAGAATTTAAGGCATTTATATTTATATACCACATTGGAAAGTTGGAAGGTAGGTATAGGATCATTATACCAAAGAAATTAAAGAATCTGCAAACAGACTTCAAAACACGTCCCAACTCCAGTTTAGGATAAACTCAATATTATAACCTGTGTAACTGGTTTCTAATCAGTATAGCATGTTCTCCTGTATATGGCGAGACTAAAGAAGTTTGATGTTTATATTCCTGTTGGATGATATCGAAAGATCTTTATTATTTGAATAGTTTTGAATTATTTGATTTATAATGCCCATTGGAACAGGCAATGTTAGTAAAAAATGTCTTAATATTATATATATATATCTATTTATGAAAAAACTCATAGTTACTGGTTAACTTATTTGCCAGATGAGCCAGTATTTTAACCAAATTTTTTTAAAAAGAGAATGATATATATGGCCAAAATTCGAGGGCGAATACAACATGTTTCCGCCATGCAAAACCAATTTTGACACCAAAAAAATCGAAAAATGTCTATATGCTTGGGACTTGCAGAAGGTATTTGTGCACCAAATTCCATGTAAGTTGGTTGACATACACACGAGTAGTTCACAAAAACCTCAAATTGGGCTTTGTTTTCCTCGCTGAAAAATTAAGCAAAAGACAAAAATTCCTAAATTGTCTATATCTTTGTTTGGAATCTGTAAAAAAACGTATCTTTGTACAAAATCTTATGTAAATTAACCGAAATACTGCAGGGTAATTGTCAAAAATCCCTAAAATTATGCTTTTTATGGCATCTTGACACCTCTACAATTACTAAAAATGGACAAGTCCAACATTTTTGTTTGTCAAAGTTTTTTTTCCTGTAGTTAAGTATCTTTGTACCCAATTCCATTTACATTGGTCAAAATACGGCTGAGTAATTGATCAAAACACCAAAATTCTGCTTTTTGTGAACTCTGACCCTCCTGAAAACACTCAAAATGGGCAAATCCAATTTTATTTTGTATGTAAATGTGTTTGGTGCATGAAAATGTGTATTTGTGCCAATTTTCATCTTGGTTGATGTAAATATGGCCACACAATAGGCCAAAATATACATTTTTGGGTTGTTTTACCTTTGAACCCATAAAATCCTTACAAAGGTCTACATCAATAAAATTAAAAAGGTGTCTGGGCATATTAGACCAAGGTGTAACCCTGCTAAGTTTCAAGTCAATCCGTTGATAAATGAAGGAATGAAAGTCGATTGAAAAGTGTTTGGAAGAAGAAGAAGAAACAACAGAAAAACAACAAGTCCCTCTGTGGAGACATAAACTATCGAAATTAAAATACAAACCAGTGAAAGTCTTCTTAGGGAAAATTTCATAGTCAAAGGGCTAAGAACGGAAGTTGGTGATTATGTTTATGTTCGACGGTGAATTTAATATCCGAATATCTGCTGTTAATATAATTTTAAAAACTCTCAATAAGTTCATCTTCTCTGAAGACAATAAAAGTATCGTCTACATATCTTCTGTAATATATTGGTTTAAACTGAGAAGGGCATTCTTCAAGCCAGCATTTTTCATTATGACATTGGAGCAAATTAGCGAATGATTGGGCTAATCTAATTGATCATAATAAATATCATTGTAAAAAAGAAACTCGGATTTTTTGGTGGCAAAATTAATGAGTTTCTAAAACATACGCTTAGAAAATCTCATTTCATTGTTGTCATTTTGACACATAAGTTCATTACATAAAGTTGTGGTCTCATCTAACGGAATATTGGTATATAGAGACTCTATATAGACTAGCACAATGCATTCCATAATTAGAATTCAATTTTTGTTTCTTGACAAAAGTCAAAACTGTTTTTTAATACTGTATCCATTTCTAATTCATAGGTCTAACAACTTAACTTAAGAATCGCGCTAACTTTTGATTGTATGTGCCTATGCCAAGAACCACGAGTCTAACCGGAAATCCTAATCTATGAACCTTAGGAACTCCATACACAATACCAGAATGGTTTTATGTAATAATATTTTTCAGTTTTAATAAATATCTTGGTAATTTACCTTCTCTAGTTTTAGTAGGATTTTTAAGCAGTTTCACAAATTTATCACTATCATTTAACATTCCTTTAACTTTATTACCACATTTCATTTAAAATAAACACACTATTTCCCTTATCAAATTTTATGATGACTATACTTTCATCATTACTTGACCTTTTAATGGTCTGATAATCCTCCTTGTTTATGTTAGTAGGATTTATATCATAGTTATAATCATTAAACGATGTTAAAGCTGTTAAAGATGTTACTAGAGTTCTTATGTTGTTAAAGGATTCATGGCTTTCTCGCCAAACAAATAAAGAATCCTCATACTTATGGGTTTTTTTTCTGGTCAAATGGAAAATTTTAAACTACAGGTCAACCCCGTTTTTCGATGTATCTTAAAAAATAATTGGCAAATTAAAAAACACTTTATCAAGGTGATCTATAAAATTTTATTTGGTTACTTTTCTCAATCTATTTTTTTTTCTAAATTATTATTTCTATAT